TTCCCTTGATCGTTTACTCCTAGAAAAATAAACAGAAAATTGGTAGTGAAGCCCTGTTTTTCCACAAACTTTCCTGTAATATATGCCCTTCAGTTTTCTGCTGGAAATTGATCAAGTTCTCGCTCGAAATATGCTAGGAATCTTTTATGGGTTGTATCATAATGCTGATGCTTGACCCTGAACACGATGCTCTGAAATTTGCTCTTACCATTAGTCTACTAACCACGTCTTTATGGTGGAACGTCATCTTGTTTTCGTAACTTTGTTCTGACGTTACACAACCGACAACATTAGTCGTGAATGTGATCGATTCCTAGGTTGGCAGCGATGCAGTTGTGAGTCTTCTTGACTGACATTTCAGTGGGCCATAAGCAGGATCAATCAGCACAGAAAATCGCCCAGTCGGTACGACTCACCCTCCCTCCCCCCTTTACAGGCTGTCGACTAATACCTACACATTTCTGCGGTTGAGCTGCCTGCTATGAGAATAAAGCGCTGCCTGAGCCACTGGACTTCCATTGATTTCAGTTCTGTTGGAAAAAGGTATAACATCACTAATAAAAGATGCTTTGCCATAGGGTAATTAGCGTGTTGTTCGATAGGATTGAAGGAACGTGTTAGGTGGGAGGTTCGGCGCAGCGGCAAACCTATTCTCCACCAGTTGTTGAGGATTATGAGCGATGAAAATTGGGGAAAACGACTGGTATGGGCGATATGGTCGGGTCTTGTCGCTCGTCTCAACAACTGGTGTGAAACTGGTTTGGCGCCACGCCAACCAATCCAACTGACCCGGCCCTCATCCTATCGGCTTGCCAAAGCTCGCCTTTCATGGATAATGGCAAAAATGAGGAAAATTTTTGGCGAACACTAGTTTTCACCCTTCACTGCATTCAACTTTGTTGGACGTAACATAGGGTAGAATGCTATATATTGTTCAAACCCGAGATTTTTATTTTTTAATGAGCATAGCAATATTGCTGAAGCTGCTTTACAGTAAAAATTCGTCCGTCGCGAATTTTGTTCCGAAAGTTTGCTTCAGCTGTAGTAATAGCGTTCCACATATACAGTCCTCATTCCCAACCAAAAATGTGGGAAGACTTCCAGTACACCTCTTCTTTGTGTTTTGAGCAGGGATTTGCAGAAGCGTGATAAACTTCTCTACGGAATGTGCCACATTTTCGTCTTGCAATCAGAATTATTAATCGATAGAATATGGACCAAATATCTATCTGAGCCGGCTGATGAACCCGGGGTCATGTTGAAATAAAGCGTGACCTGTAATTGTTTTGGTTTCATTTACAGTGATTGAGTTCTAATGAATCTCTAGCTCGACATATACCGCGCTCCTTGGTTCGGGATAATGCGGGTGGTGCTCTACTAAAGCTACCACAATCTTTACAATTTTGACACCAGCAGACTCCTACGTTGCGGATTCCACGATTTGGCTTAACACTGGCCACAAATGCCCAACATCCGGCTTCTTTCATGCGCACTCTAGAGCAGATCCGAGAGAAAAATTGCGTGGACAGGCTCTTCCCACAGAGAGGCCCCAAACCGGCAAATGCAACTAAACGAGCTCGATATCATTATATCCTTCGGGTCTCCTGAACGATAGTGACTGCAGAACCCCCTTGCAAACCATATTTATAGCTGACATCATCGGGGCGGAGTCAGGAGGGTCATAATGAGCGTGCCTGCCTCCCTTTCTCTACCTTAATGATCGACTTGGGAAGAAAGCAAGCAGTGGTGAAGTCGCTGCGACTGGGCTAATTCCATCCCTCTTGACACCGCCCTGACTGATTGCGTCAGTATCAACTGCATAGCGTGCTATGGCCTTTCAATGCCGTCGTACTTATGTTTCAACTCTGTACAGACGCGTGCGACACCTTAGTAATGTGGCAGGTAAAAGTCTAATATGTGGTTCACATCTCATGCTAGTGCCTTAACTTGTTGACGAATCGGTCTTAACATCTGCGTTCCCTGATCCGCAAAGAGGAGGAGCACGTCATTGTCAGGTTAGATGACGTGTCATTAGTTCGCTGACGTCACATAACACGTCAAGGTAGCGTTCAGACTTCATGACGACGCGCGTCTATGACTTAGCGTTGCAGTCACGCTCCAGTACAATCCACTACCGACTGCTCTTCACCTGCTTCATTTTATTCAACAGTACTTTCTTCATAACAGTTTCTGTATTTAATTCCAGAGTGTTCCAGTATCAGGGTGATAATTCGGGTTTCAAAGTTTCAACATCCATGTTGTCCGCTCATCCCTTTTATCTTCGAAAATCGGAGATAAAATCACGAGACAACCGCGACGTGTTATGAGACGTCAGCGAAGTAGCGACACGTCATCTAGCCCGAAATGACCCGCTTCTCCTCTTCCTGAGGAAACGCGGATGTTAATTCGATTTGATTGATGATTTGTCAGCAGGACCAGGCACTAACATGAGCTGTAAACCGTATACTAGAGTTATAGTCGCCATAAACTTATGGTGCCGCAAGGTCTCCGCAGAATCGCTCTCATCTCGTGAAGGAAGCAACATGAGCTCTCCAGGAAGAGAATGGAACTGTGACAAAGGAGATAAGTATTGGGTTGGCACATAAGTAATGGCGTTTTTTTTCAATTGAAAATTTTGTTCCAAAAGTGAAATGTTTTGCAAGCAAGCTTGATATCATCTGATAGGAAAAACAGAAAGTAAACAGCTCTGGAGAACAGATTTCCATTGCAGTGTTATAGAGCACGAAATTTGCTATCAGCATGCAAAACATATCAGCGAAACATTCAACTATTAGCATAAAATTTCAGGTGGAACAGACGTGAGCCTGCCCAATATCGGCAAGGTGAAGGTTGCCAACTTTGAAATTCTTGAAATTAGTTCCAAAGCGTCCTATTGAGATTCCCTTGCTGAGACTTCTAGCTCAACCTTTTCCGAAGGCTTAAGCGATTTTAGCACTTCGAGTAGACGTAAATAGAGGCAGTTGTCGAAGGTGCTAATTTTCGCCGACTTCACTTTCAACTTCAACGACTAAAAAATTCACAAAAATTATTCCCTCAACCGAAGCTGTTTTGATATTCTTATACTACGAGAAGTTTCCTATCAGATGATATCAAGGTTGCTTGCGAAACATTTCACAACGCCATTACTTATGGGCCAACCCAATAGATCGGTGTGACAGACCTTTATAATCCTACTATATATAATCCGCTATGTGTGTGTGTGTGTGTGTGTGTGTGTGTGTGTGTGTGTGTGTGTGTGTGTGTGTGTCACGAAATTCATAGCGAGCGTCGCAGAAAAGATAGGATGACAGTTCCAAGAAGTGATATACATGGCAGGACGGGAACACTTTTGGTGGGTGTCAGGAGGTGATAACACTTGATAAGATACGATAAGGGGCCGTTAGGGAGGGTGACGAATTCGTAGCGCAAGTGTGCAGCACACGTGTGGGACCGTGATGCAAGGAGATTGATTATACATGCAGAAGGCGACACTTTTGATGGAGTGACAGGAGGTGATAACACTTGATAAGATTCGATAAGGGGCCTTAGAAGGGGGGGGTGACCAACATCTAGCGCAAGTTGCAGCAGCTGCGGGACCGTGATTTCAAGGAGTGATATACATGGCAGGACGGAACACTTTTGATGGGTGACAGGAGGTGATGACACTTGATAAGATTCGATAAGGGGCCTTAGAAGGGGGGGGTGACCAACATCTAGCGCAAGTTGCAGCAGCTGCGGGACCGTGATTTCAAGGAGTGATATACATGGCAGGACGGGAACACTTTTGATGGGTGACAGGAGGTGATGACACTTGATAAGATTCGATAAGGGGCCTTAGAAGGGGGGTGACCAACATCTAGCGCAAGTTGCAGCAGCTGCGGGACCGTGATTTCAAGGAGTGATATACATGGCAGGACGGGAACACTTTTGATGGGTGACAGGAGGTGATGACACTTGATAAGATTCGATAAGGGGCCTTAAAAGGGGAGGTGACCGAATTCGTGGCAAGTTGCAGCAACGGCGAGACCATGATTTCAAGTACTGATATGCCGTAGGGTGGGGCTGGCAGAAGCTGATAACAGTGATAAGATCCGATAAGGGCCTCGGAAGAGGAGGGTCATCAATTCGATGGCGCAGTCAGCAGCAGTGGGGAAAACTCAGATCCGTGAAGGTAATTATGGTGTGGGACGGGAAACATTATTGGCGGCGACAGATAAGGTTGATATAAGAGTTGATAAGGACACCGGTACAGCGCTCGAAGGGCAGGGGCATCAATCGTAAACGCAGCTTACAGCAACAGTGGGACCTCTGATCCGAGAGGCGATACAGGGTGATATGATAGTGATACGGGACGGGAGTGTTATTGGCGGGTACGGAAGTGATAGGAGCTAAAATTGACAAGGTAGCATGGGAAAATCCGCTTCACCGCTCACAACAACAATGCCGATCGATCATAGACCAAGGAGTATAACGATCTCAGTGATTCCAACAGAACTCATTCCTCACTGCTTATTAGTAACGACATCGTGTACGACCGCTAAGCCAGCTCTATTCCAAATGCATGTGGTTTGTTTACAGAGATGTTATGAACAGCAGCAACTGACTTTATCACTCTTACCACAATTATCTTCCATCAGCAACTTCAGTGAGGGCCATTTAAAGGGTTCCACTGCTGAATGCGGTAGTGCATTCCAAAGCAAGACGCTTTAGGAAGACAGATTGCATAACATTATAGGCTGCTTCAGTGGCTGTCCAAACAGGCTGCACTATTTCCGTGTAGGTTATGGACGTACCAGTCGGATCGCTGGCTAAGCCGCTTTCCTCTTCTGTGATGCGGGGGGGGGGGGGGGGGCGCCTGCTGCGCTTCTGCGCCTTTGAGCGAAGAACAAGCGCTGCTTTTCAGTTCTTGGCTGATGCAGAAGATTCCTTTGAACAGTGTGGTTGGTCAACGATCCTTAACTTAGCACGCGGCAAATCCGCATGGCCCGGCGAAGCCGGGCCATGTCACAGAAGGAGGAGCGCCCGGCGACAGCCGGGCGATCCGACTGGTAGAATAATATCGATATAGCATATGGAGTGTAAATAGAGTAATTGTGCTATGCATGAGCTCAGACATATGGTTTTTTCTTTCGCAAAATATAAATCAAAAAACGAAAGTCAGTCCCAAGAATGAGCTTCGCTGTCACCGCGTTCCGGATCGCGTGACACCGATGGTGTGTCTATATTTTTCTCTCCGCGTTGTTTCGT